ACAACAATGACATTTTTAGTGGTGCAATCCTTCCAGAGTTTGGTGATGTTCCATTATTAGGGTTCTCTTAAATAGCGATAACAATTGTTTCCATAGAGTGCTGCGTATAATGAGCCTTAAAGGTTTTTATGACCTCCTGATCTAGAAGCTGAATTAGAGACGCTGTGTTTGGGGGCAGGTAGACCACTTTGATACCTTTGATGTTGAACTCATGGGGTTCTGAGTGGCCAACGGCATTGTCCAATATCAGAAGGACTCCAAAAAGGTAATCCCTTACTGGCAAGGTGTTTCCTGACTTCAGGGACAAAGCATCAAATGCAAACAGTCCAGAAAAGGAGTTCTCATCATCCAGGCCTTGTTGGACAACCAAAAGACTGGCAGCTGGTGTTTATCTCTTCCCTTCAAGGATGAGGGGTTTGGGGGGTTAGCAACCTTAGAGATAAGGGCAGTCCTGGTCATAAACCTGACTGCATTTGCACAAAATGGTATTGTTAGCCTATCCCTTCCTGCCTTAAATCCTGGTACTCGCTTGTCTCCTTACTAATAAATGTCCTTTGCGGCATTTTCCCCCCAGAATAGGGTATTTTTATCTGCATTAAAAACCTTTTCAGGCAGATAGCCTTTCTCCTCAATGATTTTTTTTTTTTATTGTGTCTTGGAATTCATCTGCTGCCCGTTGGTCAGCAGAAGCTGCTGCTTCTATTAGCTTTGCATTTTGAAAGCCAAACCTAAATTATCAAACCATTCTTTGCTGGCATTAAATTCTGTAACTTTAGATCCTTCGTTTTCCTTTAAGTTGTCATGTGATGACTTTGCTTTTTCTCAAATCATGTTAAAGTCTACAGGTATGCATTTCTTACAGCAATCCTGCACCTACATACAAGCTGCATTTTCAATACAAGATAAAAAGATACTTCACAAAAAGTTAAAGGTTTTTGTGCCTGCTGGTGTAGCTGCAGCCACAGCTTCATGAATTTCCTTTTCTTTTTTTACGATGATCCCTACCCTGGATTCATTGATGTTGAAATGGTGGGCAACCACAGCTGCAGACCTCAATCTGCAGTACATATCAAGTATTAATAATTCAAATTTTTCTTGTAACGTCAAGACTTTTCTCTCCTTCTTGGGAGCACTTCCAGCAAGCATCACTGCTGGCACTTCGTATGGGTCCGATGGTGTTATGTTACTGCACTAAACGTGATGAAAAATATATGGGAACTGAGAGAAATCTCTTTTACTACGATGTACAATTTACTGGAGAGACAAACTGCTTATGTGGAGATGATTATTGTCACTTGATGTTTTAATTGGATACTCAACACGAGAGCTCGTTGAAATAGCAACAGAAGGTGGCTATGAAATTATTACACTAGTATAGTTAATTTTATGCAGTTATGATTTAATACTGTATCTTTACTTTTTTTTGCATTTCTCTGTACTGTGAATGGCACCCTATATGGTCTGTAAGTATATGCTAAAGTTTTGATAAATTTTAACTTTTTGTAATAGATTTGTATATTTTTTATGGTAATAAATGATAAAATAGACTAGTGTCTATGTATATTTTATGCATTCATGACATTTTCTTATATTTGTTTGACATTTTGAGGTTACGTGGTTCATCTGTGAGTTTTTTCAAATTCTCAAAAATCTCCAAAAAATTTTCTAATATATTTATTGGAAAAAAATTCATGTATAAGTGGATATGCACAGTTCAAACCTGTGTTGTTTAAAGGTCAACTGTATTAAGTGAGTCTTTGAAATGTACCGTATTACTCAGTATTTTTCTGAGTAGCACCTGAAGTGTCTGTAGTAGGTGTGTTTTTAAGGGAGGGTCTCAGATGAGAGCTGACTTTTCGCACTGTTGAAAATGTTTTAGAAGCAAAGCTTTAGTCTGCTAAAATATGGACTAATGCTTGATTGAAACTTCAGAACTTTACCACAGAAAATGAAAGAAGTAATGTGTTGTCAACCATAGAACAACCTAATGCCTCTTTATTACCCCAGTAATACAAATAACTGTAGAATGTACCGTCAAATGGCTGAGTGATAAGGTTTCATGGATCCCTTAATAGTATTCATTTAAATGGAGAATGCCTACCAAAGAGAAGGATTTTAATTTTAATAATGGCTAACCCTTGTTTGAGTAACTTCAATATGCCCTAAAAGCTTTATATATAATGTTTCTGTGAAGTGAGTATTGTTTCTGTTTGTAAATAGAAAACGAAGGTTCAGAAGTTTAGCGACTTTTAATAAGGTGACATAGTTGGAATTCCAATCCAGATCTTTCTGGACAAAGCTTATGCATTGCCCTGTCTTGCATATATTTATTTTAATTTGTCTTTAACAAATATCTGTCCTCTGTCTTGCACTGAGGATACAATTTGAAGAAAAGGAAAAAAAATCTAAACAAAAAAGACAGGGTTTGTGTTCTTAGAGCTTATTCTCTAGTAAAAGAGGGTAGGTGTGAATTTCGGATGGGACTGCTAAGAATTTCTAGGAAATTGACCTTTGCTTTACATGGTTTGCTGTGAACACTGTAGTTTATGTTAACATTATTTTGCACCTGATGAGAAGACTGGCATTCATATAGATTTTCTAAAACAGGGAATAGTAAAATTTCCTGTGAGTTTGGCAGAGTTCTAAATTTGAGTTAGTTTAAGAGCTTAAGAATCTTGAAGAGTTCTTAGAAAGTATCCGATGGGATCCTAATCCTAGTTAGGCAATAGCATGAACATATGGATACCTCTGTGTGCACTTAAAAGAGAAGGATGTTTGCATTTCTACCAGGATTGATTTCAGCTTGGACAGGTGCTCGTATACAGTTAACCTCTTATTAACTTAAATTTCATTAAAGTACTTTACATCCTTTGTCTCTTAATGACTATCAACCTGTGACAGTCTTTTTTTTTTGAGACAGGGTCTCACTCTGTTCCCCAAGCTAGAGTATAGCTCACTGCAACCTCACACTTCTGGGCTCAAGCAGTCCTCTGGCCTCAGCTTCCTGAGTAGCTGGGACTACAGGCGCGTACCACCATGCCCGGCTAATTTTTCTATTTCTCTTTTGCAGAAACAGGGTCTTGACATGTTGCACAGACTGGGACGGTCCTTTTTAAAAATCAAGTATTAGTTAAATAATCATACAAGTAAATGTCAGATTATTGCAATTAATGCTTCAAAGGTGAATGATATACAATGAAAGCATAAAAGGGGGAGCGGATATTGATCTGGTTGGGGAAATAGGGAAACTTTTCCTCATTAGATGATGCTTTGATTAAGGTGGATGAGTACACATTATAGTGGGGAGGCCCTAGTGGAGAGTATTCCAAATAGAGGAAATAAGCCTCATTTTAAAGGTGCTGTGGTAGGGAACTGAAAAAAAGAGCATTGTGTCTGCAGCAGGGGGCTGGGTGCATGGTGTGAAATGAGGCTGGAAAGGTAGATAGGAGTCAGACCAGGCAAGGTCTTATACATAGAGACTTTTTGTGTTTTTTTAATACAAAGAGTGAGAAGTCCTTGACTGTTCTAAGGGGGTTTTGGGAGTGGATGGGTGTCAGTCTCCTGATCAGATTAGGTTTTGGAAAGATAGCTCTCAATGTGGTATAGAACATGCCACATTTATTTAGGTATTCTCCAGGTGAGAGATGAAGGTAATTTAGACTGTGATCATTGTGGTTAGAAAAGGAAGGGAAAAAATTATGGGGAAAACTGAGCAAATTCCAGAGATGTAAAGGATAAACATGAATAGAATTCAGTGATGGATATGTTGCAAGGGGTGCTGGAATGAAAGCTATAGAGGACTTCCTAAATTTCTGGTTGGTTAACCAACAAATTCTTTTTGAGTTGTTTTTAATGCCTATTCAAGTTGTTTTTGCAGTGCTCTAATGGCTAAAGTTTAGTTTCCAGACTTGTAGTTAATACCGTATAATTGTTAAAAATCTTAGCGTCAGTGAATACACTGGAAGTTTTAATCAGTATTCATTTAAGCTTAGTTATTTGTCTGTTGCCTAATTCCCCCACCTTGTCTTTAACTGTTTTCTAAGCACTATTATTTTCCTTTGCTTATATGAGAAATTTCAAAATAAAGATGGGTGGGGTTATTGTTAGATCCCTTGATTTTTAAAAGCAGTTTTTATTGAGATACATACCATAAAATCAGCCAATTTAAAGTGTGCAATTCAGTGGTTTTTACTATATTTACAGAGTTGTGCCATTATCACCACAGTCAATTTTAGAATATTTTCCTTATCCTAACAAGAAACACCGTACTCATTAACTGTCATTCCTTGTTTCTCCCCAACCATCTCAGCCCTGGACAACCACCAATAGATTTACTTTTTCTGGATATTTCATATAAATGGAATCATATAATACGTGGTCTTTTTTATCTGACCTCTTCAGCTTAGCATAATGTTTTTGAGGTTTGGTCATGTTGTAGTGTGCATCAGTACTTCATTCCTTTTTATGGCTCATATTTCATTGAATAGATAAAGCACATTTGTTTATCCATTCATTAGTTGATGGACATTTGGATTGTTTTTCCTTTTTTATGAATTTTGAATGAATAATGCTATACTGAACATTCATGTACAGATTTTTACTTGAATATATGTTCTTGATTCTCTTGGGTATATACCTAGGAGTGGAGTTGGCTGGGTCATATGTTAACTGTTTAATTTTTTGAGGAACTGTCCAACAGTTTTCCAAAGCTGCACAATTTTACATTCCCACCAGCAGTGTATAGAAGTTCCAATTTCTTCACATTCTTGCTAGCACTTGTTATCTATCTTTTTTATTATAAGCAAGTAACTATTAACTGATAGCTCATTATGGTTTTGATGTGCATTTCCCTGATGGCTAGTGATGGTGAGCTCGATTTTTAAAAGAAAAGCAGCATTTTGATTTTATCGAGAATATAAAACTGGAAATGTTTGATAGTTTCATGTAATTGCTTGGAGACACTTTTGCTGTATTTAAAATTTGTTCTTCTTTCTCATCAGTTGTATTCCCTGAATGACTATAAACCACCCATTTCTAAAGCGAAAATGACCCAAATTACGAAGGCAGCCATCAAAGCTATTAAGGTGAGTAATAAATTTTACTCTTGTGTTTCAAAAGAAAATACTACACTAATATTTTGTATCGGGGAAAATTTTTGTAGATTACATATTCTTTTCTGCTTTACAGTGTTAATACATCATCATGGTGGAAAAACATAAAAGAGAAAATTTATCACCTGCGAACTCTCCCACCTAGAGAGAGATACTTTTTTTTTTTTTTTTTTGAGACAGAGTCTCACTGTGTTGCCCGGGCTAGAGTGAGTCCCGTGGCGTCATCCAGCTCACAGCAACCTCAAACTCCTGGGCTCAAGCAGTCCTCTGGCCTCAGCTTCCTGAGTAGCTGGGACTACAGGCATGTACCACCATGCCCGGCTAATTTTTTCTATATATTTTTAGTTGTCCAATTAATTTCTTTCTATTTTTAGTAGAGACGGGGTCTCACTCTTGCTCAGGCTGGTTTCGAACTCCTGAACTCAAACAATCCACCCGCCTCGGCCTCCCAGAGAGCTAGGATTACAGGCGTGAGCCACCGTGCCCGGCCGAGAGATACTTTTGATAAATATTTTTCCATAAACTTTGAAGCAATAATTTTTCCTTACCTTTCTTAAGCACGTAATATTTTGGACATATCCACATTGAGAAGAGTGTTTTTAACACTGTTATTTGTCATACTGACTTTGCAGAATCTTGAAACACAAGTTGGTAAAAGGTTTCTAAATATTGACATATTAATTTTCTTTCTTATTGAATTTATTATAGATTTGAAAATGGGCCATTATGGGAAACAGTTGGGCCTCACTGTACATAAGATATATGAACTGTGGGAAAATACCGTAGACATTTAGCCATTGCTTTAATACAGTGGGTTTTGAACCTCTGTTGACTCATGGATGCTTCTGAAAATCTCAGGAAAAGATTGGATCCTCTCCAGAGAAATACACATATGCACAAAATTTTACATAAAATTGCTTGGCTGAAGGACCCTTTGAAGTTCAGCCACAGCCATTTTCCCAAGAAATTCTTATCCCCAGGGCTAAGACTCCCTGCTTTAGTAGGGCTCTTAAAATTGAGAATGAATAAGTGCTTATTTCTAACTAAGTAGGTATTAACCTATGAATGTTAAGTGATATGTTTTCCTACTCTGAATTAAACATTAAGCATAACCAGAGGCACCAGCTAGTTAAGTTGTCTTTTGAATATCAGCAATGTATTAAATTTAACAAATTCCTACTTACTAGTAATTGTTACTGGGAGAAAATTTAGGTAATTAGTTGAAGTCACAGTTTTCTAATGGCCAAAGCTTAGTTTTCAGACTTGTAGTAAATATCTGACATCATTGCAGTTAAAATCCCTGTACTTTAACATGCAGAAAATGAAAGAGAAGATAAGTTCAGTGACATATAAGCACATTTAAGGCAGAAAATTCTTCAAAGAAGTGATTTTTCAGGGTATCTATAAGCTCAATATAGAATAAGTTTATTGTGTTACACTTTCTTATCTGTAGTATTCTGCATTATGACCTGAATCTTATGATCATGACCATCTGAGGGTATGCAAACACGTATAATTATTTTTATTCTGTGAAAATTAATAGTTGATGCATTTTACATAACTTGTTGAGAAGAATACAATTTTCATTGAAGGACTTAATGAGGTGTAAGTGCTAACATTATTTCCTATTTTCAGATGTTGGAAGGGACTAAGAAATTAAATACTTTGCAATAGTAGGGATAAATACAGCTAGAATTTGAACCCAGGTTCCTGTCACTCATGAGCCTACCTCTTTGGGTGTGGTGGCACATGGCTGTGGTCCTAGCTGCTCAGCGGCTGATATGGGAGGGTCGCTTTAGCCCAGAGCTATCCTGGGCAACATAGCAAGACTCTGTCTCAAAAAAAAAAAAAAAGTACTAAGAAGAGTAAATGTTTAAAAAAAAAAAGTCTTACTTATTGTGATACACTGTACTGCTTTGATTTATTATTACTGTTTTTAATTTTGAAAAAATATAAACAGAAGTTGTAAAATATTATGAGAGCATCACATATTTTTCCCTTAAAATTTGCTAATTGTTAACTTTTTGCTACATTTGCTTTATTTCTATGCACGTGCAGGCCCACACACTATTCTCATTTTTTTTGGCTAAATCATTTGAGAGTCTTCATTCGTAATAGTACTCACTCCTTAAATACTTGAATTTGGATCTCCTAGGAACAAAGACATTTTTCTAAGTAACCATAATACACCAAATCACATATGCAAGAAATTTCACTTTCGTATAATTATTATTATACAATTCATCCTAATTCATCCTTATATTTCTGCATTTGTTGCAGTATTGACTCTAGTAGCTGTCCCCTGCACCCTGCTTTTTCAGGATCCGGTCAAGATCACACATTATACTTATTTATCCTTTTACCCAGCTGTTTTTTTCCCATGATGTTGACATTTTTGAAGAATCTAAACCAATTGTTTTTCAGCACTGTATTATTTTAATTTTTTAATGTTGTTTTTAAAAAATCATCATATTCAACCCCAAGTACTGTATTATTTAAAACTTCATTTATTACATACATAACCTGAGATTTTAACTAGCTTTTCAGTTGGATTTAAATGATACTATCTTTCATATTGAGGTAAGTCATTGCTTTTTATCAGTGTTTAGAGAAATGATTACCTTAATGAGGGCTTGTCAACAAAACTCATGGATAACGTATTGTGGAAGAAGTCCTATGAGAATTCAGAAACTTTGAATAAAGTTTAATAAGCGGTTTTATTCTAATTAGCAACTAGAAGTAGAAAACACTGTCAAAGTATCTTCCAGAAGAGTTGTTTAATTCATTCAATATGTAATTATTTAATATTTTATATATCAATTTTCAGTGTTTAGGTGCCTGTAAAGTGCCTAATAACTTGAAGTAGTAGTTTAGCTTTTTTACTTAGGTAACTTAAACTGTTGAGTAAACTGATACTTTATAGTAAGTAAACTTTAACCAGACTTAAACTTGCAGATTTTGATTTGGTGAATTTGAGTTAATGATTATTTTCTTTATATATGTATGTATGAATGAATCAATGAGAGAGATAGGGTCTCCCTCTGTCACCCTGGCTGCAATACAGTGAGTGGCACTATTACAGCTAACTGTAACCTCAAGCTGTTGGGCTCAAGTGATCCATCTGCCTCAGCCTCCCAAGTAGCTAGGACAGGCAGCATGTGCCACCGTGCTCAGCTAATTTTTAAAATTTTTTGTGGAGTGAGAGTCTTGCTGTGTTGCCCAGGCTGATCTCAAACTCCTGGGCTCAAGCAGTCCTTCTGCCTCGGCTTCCAAAAGTGCTCCTATTACGGGCTTGAGCCGCCATGCCCAGCCTGTTTTTGATTTTATATATATGGGATTTTATGCTACGGTTTAGTTGAATGTACTAGTATTTCTTCAGTCTAAGGTAGTGTTCCTTAAAAAGCGTAATTCATGAGAAGAGAAGAATAGAAGCACAATTCAACTTAGTTCTTTAAACAGAAATAAGCTAACTATGGTATTGCCATTGAGGTATTAAAATTTGTTAGGTACAAATTCTAGATGCTTTATGTTAAATTTATAATTTCCATTTTTTCAGGTTTATTCATGCTGTTTTATGAAACTTAAATCATCCAAGTTTTGTTACAATTGATAGTAGCAGATTACTAATTTTTAATCCATATGCTCACTTCTTTTTTGCTAAGTCATTTTGTCTGGTCCATAAGGATGTCATACATTTCTACACCTTATATATGCCTGCAGTTCATTTTCCAGGAAAAGTGGAAGATAAATGAAATTGAAAACAACTCCCTTACATACATTTCTTAATGCTGTTTGCAGTCATTTGATTTTTCTGATACTACCCTTGATTTAACTCATAAAATTATACCACAAAAAATCTCTACTTTTCCTTCCGTGAAACTAAGAATTTGCAACTGCCAGTGTACTTATGACAAGTATTTTGCTGTCAACACAACTGTTTCTCAAAGTATTCTTTCATAAAGACTTTGATAGAATTCTTTTATGTCTGTGATAAGGTAACACACTTTGGATATACTGACTATGTAAGTACTTCATAGAAGCTAATTATATGGGACAGCTAGTTGCTTATGAATGGGATGATTGACATGAATGTTTGTCTGAAAATTCGTGATTAAAAGTTACTGTTTTTAAAATAGACCTTTGGAGCTATGTTAAACCCTATGGTTAGCAGGAAATTCTAATCTACTCAAATTAATTTTAAAATCATATTCATTTTTTTCTCTTTTAGTTCTATAAACATGTGGTACAGAGTGTTGAGAAATTTATTCAGAAAGTAAGTATATAATTTTCCATACATATGCTAAATCTACTGTAATTGTATATTAATGTCTGTGTTCTTCTTTAAGTCAAATACCCAAGTTTAAGTTATTTTGATGGGAATGTTAAGAAGTGGTTCCAGTTATTTTATTTTCTAATTAAGAAATAAAATGAAAGTGCCTTTTGGATAATTATAAAAACAATAGCTTTCAGGTAGGTTTTTTTTTTTCCTAAATTTGTATTGCCATAATGAGCATCTGTCCCTTCAAAAAAATAGTGTCTATATGATTGATTTTTAGTGAAATTAGAAACCTATGGCTTTGTAAAACCTTTAAGGAAATTGTTACTTACTATTTCAACTATATGCCTAGAGAGTGGCTCTCTTTTTAAATAAGGTGTGAATAAAATATTGGCTGCTGCCATTTCTCTTCTGCTGATTTGATTTTGTCTGATCCATTAGGACATTAAGCATTGTTACATCTTATTATGTAGACCTGCAGTTCCATTTTTCCAGGGGTAGCAGAGGGAGATAAAGTTGAAAATGACTGTATTGTGTGTATTTAGTAGTGCTTTTGTAACCAGAGTCAGAGTGACTAGATTATAGTTCTTTGCCCTCTGTTTTGTAATCAGCACCCTTTTGATGCCACAGTTTTTGGCAGGAGTACATAAAAGTTGTAACTTAAAAAAATGTTACTATAGGAAACCTCTATTTTACTGTAATTGTACTTAGGTTTATATTGTGCCCACGTTCACGTGCCTAGATATAAGCAGAGCCAGTTCGAGAACCAGAGATATATGATATTAAGGATTTAGCAAGGTTACAGTGTGGTTTTTGAACAAAAAGTTGACTGGGAGAAGGCTGTAAGATTCAAAGTGAGATTTTTGTGTTGCTAAACTAGCTCAGTTAGCCTTTATGTAATTCAAGATTTTTTTTCTTTTTAAAAAATTCTTGGTTTCTCAATATTTAAAGTACAGTATTGGTAAGACATATTTTTGAGGTTAAGTAGTTTAAGTAAATTGAAGCTAAGAGATGGGTAAAATAACAAGTATGCTGTCTTTTTTAGGTAAATCAAACTATAAAAATGTTAGTGATTGGAAAATTTCATTGGTCTAAAGCTTTTAAAAGTCTTCTAAAAAATTTCGATGTCTAAAGCTGTGCCTCTTAAACTTTATTATGAGTAGGGACTATAGGGGGATCTTGTTAAAATGCAGATTCTGACTCTGTGGAGGAGCCCGCGATTCTGTATTTGTAACAGTTGCTAGAGGATGCCTTTGCTATTCCTGCAGAAATCACAATTTGAGTAGTAGGAGGTTGAAGGATAAATGTGAATTTGTGGATAAATGTTTTTTGACTGATTTAGTTTCAGGTCAGAGGTAATTTTAATAAAATATTTCAGAATGTTAGGAAGACCTGGAGTGAGCAAAGTTATTCCATTGTGAGATGATTGTAATAGAATCAATCTGAAGACTCAAGTCAGTGTCTAGGGAAACATTTAAATGCTTTGCCTCTACCCATGCTTAAATCTGAGATTCAGCAATGGATTTTTTTAATGGTTAAAGTAAGTTGTATATGTATATTTTTAAACTTAATTTTGAGATAATTGTAGATTCACATGTAATTGAATCAATAGGAATAAATTATAACAAAATAGAGATGCCATATATCCTTCACTCTGTTTCCCCCTGTGGTAACATTTTGTATAATTGTAGCCTAATATCACAACCAAGGCATTGATAATAGTCACCTTATTGACATACCAACCTTATTCATATTTTACTAGTTTTACATGTATTCATTTGCATGTGGCATATTTATTTCTGTGCAATTTAATCACATGTATGGATTCATATACACGCTGTAGTCAAGAGACAGAATAGTTCCTTCACAATGATTCATCGTATTTCTGTAGTCATACCCCACATTCAACTCTTCTGCTCCTCCCGTTTCTAATGCCTGGCAGTCACTAATCTGTCCTCTGTTTCTATAATTCTGCATTTTAAGAATGTTATGTAAGTGGAATCATATAGTCTGTGGCCTTTTGAGATTGGCTTGGTTTGCTCAGCAGAGTTCCTTAAGATCTAGCCAAGTTGTTGCATGTATCCAATAGTTCCTTCTTTTTTATTTCTGAGTAGTATTTATTTCTGAGTCCATGATATGAAGGTGCCACAGATTAACTATTTACACATTGGAGGTCTTCTGGGTTATTTCCAGTTTTCGGCTATTAAAAAGAAAGCAATAGTAACATTTGTATACAACTTTTTACCTGAATGTAAGTTTTCATTTCTCTGGGATAGTGGATAGTAAGTGCATGTTTTTATTTTATAAGAAACTGCCAAACTATTTTACAGAAGGGCTGTACTTTTTTTTTTTTTTTTTTTTTTTTTTTTTTTTTAAATTTCAGAATATTATAGGGGTACAGACATTTTGGTTACATGAATTACTATTGCACAGTTTGAGTCAAAGTTATAAGTATGTCCATCACCCAGATAGTGTGCATTGTATCTATTAGGTGTGAATTAACTCAGCGCCCCCCCCACTTGATTTCCATTGAATTTTACTACTATATGTACACATGAATGTTGATCATTTAGTTCCAATTTAATAGTGACTACATAGTGACTATTCTTGCTATACTTCCTTAGGAGGATGGTCTCCAGTTCCATCCAGGTTGTTACAAAAGGCATTAGTTTACCATTTTTTTAATGGTTGAGTAATACTACATGGTATACATATACATTTTATTCATCCACTAATGTATTGTTGGGTACTTGGATTGTTTCCACATCTTTGCAGTTGTGAATTGTGCTGCTATAAACATTCAAGTGCAAATGTCTTTTTGATAAAATGACTTTTTTTCCTTTGGGTAAATATCCAATAGTGGGATTGCTGGATCAAATGGTAGGTCTACTTTTAGTTCTTTGAGGTATCTCCATAATTACTTTCCATAGGGATTGAACTGGTTTGCATTCCCACCAACAGTGTGTAATTGTTCCTTTCTCTCTGCATCTACACCATCATCTGTTATTTTGGGGCTTTTTGATAAAAGCCATTCTCACTGGGGTTAGGCGATATCTCATTGTAGTTTTGATTTATATTTCCCTGATGATTAGATATGGTGAGCATTTTTTCATATGTTCGTTGGCCATTGTCTTCTTTTGAAAAGCTTCTGTTCATGTCTTTTGCCTACTTTTTAATGGGATTATTTGATGTTTTCTTGCTGATTTGGTTGAGTTCTATGGAGATTCTGGTTATTAGCCCTTAATTGGATGTATAGCTTGCACATATTTTCTCCCATTCCGTAGGTTGTCTGTCTGCGCTTTTGATTGTTTCCTTGGCTGTGCAGAAGCTTTTAAATGTAATCAGGTCCCATTTATTCATTTTTTTTTGTTGCTGTGATTGCCTTTGGGGTCTTCTTTATAGGGACTGTATCATTTTATATTTCTTTCGCATACCATAAACAAATAATGCAAGTAAGGGGGAAACGTGGGTGCAGTTTGGTAACGTGTTATCTGTGATTCCATGTTTCAGTTGTGAAAGATTTATAGAGTAATGAGTCATGGTGATAAATAAAAAATTAAGAAATAAAATAATAAAATAATTTAATTATAAAAAAAATAAAAAATTAATAAAGATGATATCCTGTAGGCCAGAAAAACTGCTTGAAAGAATCTCTGGCCTTTAGCCTTTGTCCTAATTATTTTTGCCAGAAATTACTTTATAGGCTGATGTTACCTTTATAAGACAGAAGCAAAGGCCAGAGTGACAAACAGCTATTAGGAAATTTTATAATAAGGTAAGTTTTAGAACTAACATTTATATTAGCTCTGTTTAACACTCCCTACATTATAAATAGCTAACTTATCTTAGTTATTCTAAATCATAAAGGAAAGAAATTTATTCAGAGTCAGAGACCTCGTGATTTGCTACCTTTTCTACCATCCATAGCCAACATTCTTTGTCATTTGCTAGTTTGAAATGCAAAAGCTAAATCTTCAGCTTCGTTCCAAAAAATATGTAGAGTTTAGCCAACTCTTTTTGTCCATATAAAATCTTCTGCCCTTTTACATGAGTACTGTAAACAATTCTGTCCACTAGATTCAGAATAGGATTAAATATTATCACTCAGAACTATTTATTTTGATACAATCTGTATGCTCTGTTTTAATCAAACACCTTCTATGGCACTGGCTACTCTCAGATACCATAAGATCAACAAAAAATTTTATCTTTCTAGGCTCTGAAAATGGTCTGTAGATAAAATACTGTTGTATTAACTTATGTTTTCAGCTTTGACTATCTTCTTCAATTTCCTACTGCGTTGTTTTATCAGTAAGAGCAGGGAATGTAGTTTATTTATTATGATTTTCAAGTAGCAAACATATACTCAGCAAATAATAAATGAAAAAACTGTGCTAAATACTCTTAGGATTACTGTCATAAAAGTTTTTGGTTTTCCAGAAACTTGATCTGGTAGTTTTATGGACATTACAAGTGGTTGATATTTTGTAATGGATATATGTTTTTTAATGAAGCTGAAACAGTTGGTCATCTTCTTCTGGTATATTTATGCTTCTGCTCTTTGATGTTTTCTCAGAGGAAGGATAGAGTCCACATTTAAAGATGGCTGTTACCTTTACTTACCTCTGGTGTCTTGTTTTATAGATGTATATTAATATATGTAAATATACACATACTTTCATATAAAGTGCGGTATCCTGTAACAGTGCACCTTCAACACAAGTACACTTTTACCCTTGGGGACGGAGTACACCAAAATTTTGGCGCTTGGCACAAGTAGTCTGAAAGGAGTTTATTTCCAGATTCTCACTTTCCATATGTAGTTTTTACTAAAGTTCCTCTGCCTTAAAATTAATAGTTTAGATCAATTCTAAGTTCTACACTCATTAAATTTACATTTCAAATATATCTTGAGTTTATCAGTCCTTATTATGACAGGAGAAACTTTGCCTGTTTTGTTTTATTTGAGAAGGCACGGATGTTTATATAATTACAGT